ATGAATGAATGAATGAATGAATGAATGAATGAATTTATTATTTATTTTTAAAATATTTAAATAACACCCACCCCGAATCTAACCATGAAGTTGGTTCTTGGCCCTGAGTTCAATGAAACCTAACCCTAACCCTAGGTGGAGTTTTCCCTCCAAGTAGGATTCTACCATTCATTTTGCTCAGGGGCTCAATTTGGGGTAAATGGAATTCCAAAAGGCTCACTAGCCATAAACATCCTCCACAAATTAAGCTGTGAAGTTCTTCTTTGGCCTTGACTTCAAGGAAGCCTAACTGAAACTCTAGATGAAATTTTCCTTTCAGATAGGATTTTCCCATGCATTATCCCATATATTATGTCAAGGACCTAAATTTGGGCAGAATGTAAAGCTAAGAGAACCAGTATCCATAAACACAGACTGCAAATCTAAATATGAGCTTGGTTTTTGGCCCTCACATCAAGGGAACTTAACCAAAACCCAAGGTAGAGTTTTACCTGAAAATAGTGTACTCCATTTCATTTGACCCAGGGCTTAAACATAGGTAGAATAGAACGATAAGAAGCCCACTATCCATGAGCATCCTCCTTGTTAGAAGTCTAGCTAAGGTTAGAGTTAGTTTTCCTTAAAGTCAGGAACTAACATGAACTTCATTTTTAGTTTCTGGGAGGAAGTATACGAATAGTATCCTGTCAGCTTTATGTTCTGCTCAAACTGATATAATACATGGGATGATCCCTCCATTTTCCTTTCCCTCCCATTTGAGCCTTTCTTCCCAGCATCAGCATGGCCAAGTTGCCAATAAAGCAGCAACACTGACACAGGTGGGAGTGGAGATGAGAGGAGGATGGAGGAGATGTGTGTTTTGGAGCTCTGCAGCCACCAGCAAACTGAGTACAGCAGCAAAACAAAAGAAGGGTGTTTTTCCTTCAGAAGGAGTGGATGGTCCAAAAAAGAGGAAAAGAAGTAGAGACCCAGCAAGAGAAAGCACAATGTAAAAAAGGTGCAAGAGAGAAAAAGAAGAAGAAATCTCAGAGAGAGGGAACTTAAGGCAGAACAGGCTTAAGAAAGAAACGTTGATGCATACTAATAATAGCGTAGAGAATAGCATATAGGTAATTGTAATAGAGTAATAGGTAATAGTAATAGAGTATAGTATATTGAATATTAATAGTATAGGATATAGTAATTGCCTTAGTAATAGGAATTGTCATAATTGTCATACTAATAGTATAAACACAGCAATAGAACAGAATACAAGAATACAGAGGAGCTAGGAAAAATCAATGGGAAAATTCAATTTGGGAGGAAAACTCTAACTGAAATTTTAGAGACATTTTATGAAGTGGTGAGTCTCATATAATTTCATTCTACCTAGCTTTAGGTGCTAGACAAAATCAATGGGAAAATACTATTTGGGAGGAAAACTCCATCTAGGATAAGGGTTAGGGTTAGGGTTCCATGAATTCAGGGCCAAAATCAAACATCACAGTTAGACTGAGGGAAGCTCTTTATGGATAGTGTGCCCCTGATTATGTCTTTCTACATAGTTTTGGTTTCTGGGCAAAAGCAATGGGAAAATCCTATTGGGAAGGAAAAATCCACCTAGGTTTAGGCTTAGGGTCAGGCTTAGGTTTCCTTGAAATCAGGACCAAAATAAAACAACACAGTTAGATTTGACAAGACTTTTTATGACTAGTGAGCCTCTTATCACTTCATTCTACCTAGTTTCAGGTGCTCGG